GTGTCTGTGTTAATTGGTTTCCCTTTTCTTTGTTGAAGAGGGTCTGTGCAATCCTTCTGCCTAGTCCGCCATCTTGCCCCGCCTCCTAATTCCAACTTTTAAAGGAATTGCCATACTGATTTCCATAGTGATTGTATCACTTTACCATCCCACCAATAGTGTATGAAGTCCCAATCTCTCCACATCCTTGTCAGTATTTGTTATTTTCTGTGTTATTGAACTTTGCTGGTAGTACAGGGGCCAGATGTTATATCGTTGTTTTGATTTGCATCTCTCTGGTGGCATAGTGCCTAAGGCATTTGACTGCTCACCAGAAGGCTGGCAGTTCAAACCCACCAGCTACTCCTCAGAAGGAAGATTGGGCAATCTACTTCCGTAGAGATGCCACCTCGGAAACCCAAGGACAGGTGGGTATGAGTCAGGATTGACTCGACAGCAGTGAGTTTGGTTTTTCGGTTTGGTTGAGTTTGTTACTTTGTTTGTTTGTTTTAAACATCCTGTTTTGCACTAAAAGTTGGGTTTTGGTTTTATTCTTTTAAAGTAATTTCATTATTATAAATGAATATATTATACTGAGTATTATAATTTTGTATTTTTATATAACTTGTTCATCTAAAATAAAATTTATCAAAATGGAAAGTATGTCTATTTATCAGTGATAGAGAAAAGTTTTAAAGTAAATAATTGGAGAGAGTTACGTAATTGGCATACGTGAGTATTAAATCCTTCAGTATTAAGGATTCATGTTAGCTTCATTTTTAAAAAATATACTGAGAATAGAAGTAACAAAACAATTCAGATTTAAGGTCAAGACAAGCCATGCCAGATTCAGCCTACACTCCCAGGCTATGATCAAACCACTTCTGTGTAACTCTCCACATGTTTGCTGTATCCTCATACAAAAGATTAGATATTCTTTTCTTGAAAGGAATTACTTCTTCCTTTTATCTAATGATTAATATAAATCTCATATTTTCAGATAATCATATTTCTGATAGGTGAGATTTATTCATATGTTAATATATATTTATATGACTCGTAAAGTAGTTATCTGTGAAAAAATCAGATATTATTGATTTGTAAAACTTAATTTTTAATCAATTATTATAGTTCTCTTCAACTATCAAATTTTAAACCTCCTTTACTTACCTAGAAAATTAGAGGTACTGTTTTCCAATTAGCAAAGGAGAGGCCTTGGATTATAACTTAAGAATTTCTTTATTTAGTCTTTAAAATATATATATATATATGGGAGCTCTGGTAACATAGTGCCTAAGGCATTTGACTGCTAACCAGAAGGAGGCTGGCAGTTCAAACCCACCAGCCACTTGGAAGGAAGATGGGGCAATCTACTTCCATAGTGATACTGCCTTGGAAACCCAAGGAGGGGTCATTATGAGTCAGGTGTGACTCGACGGCATATAATAACAATAACTGTGTGTGTGTGTGTGTGTGTGTGTGTGTGTTTGCATGTTTGTATGTATGTATGTTTGTATGTATGTATGAATAACTGGTCTACCTACTCTCGGACCAATGCAAAATATGAATCTAAAGCAGAATGAAAATCATTTTTTTCTTTTCCTTTTTTTTTTAATTTTTATTGTGATTTGGGTGAAAGTTTACAGAGCAAATTCACTTTCCATACAGTAGCTCACGTACACTTAGTCTCATGATGTTAACTGCAGTTTCCCACAATGCAACAGCTCCCTTCTCACTTCCTCCCCATAGTTACCTCTTCCTTGTGTCCTTCCCTCCCATGCACTCCTGCCCCCTGAGCTGTCTCACTGTGCTTACACAGCCCTTCTATTCTCCCATGATTGATCTCTCTAAGGAGTTTAGCTACCTATTGTATATGTTCAACCCATATGCCTGATTTTTGTTTGCCTGGAAGCCACAGGAATAGGTTCAATTTCCGGATCTAAAGGGCAAGTAGGGGCCATAGTCTCAGGGGCTTCATCAGGCTCTATCCAACTAGCAAACCTGGTCCTTTTATTTATTTTTTTTTTAATGATCTTTTGTACCACATTGTTCTCCCACTCTATCCAGGATCTCCTACATAGATCCCCGTCCGAGTGGTTGACAGTGGTAGCCAGGCACCATCTAGTTCTTCTGGTCTCATAGTCATATAAGCTGAGGATCGCATGGTGTACCAGTTGCTTGGACTAACTGTTTCCATGTGTCTTTGATTTTCTTCATTCTTTGCTCTGGACAAGGAGAGATCCATTGTTGCATCTAGATAGCTGCTTGCAAGCCTTTAAGATTCCAGTCACTACTCGCCAAAGTAGGATGTGGAACAATGTTTTATGTAGTATGTTAGTCACTTGAGCTTGATGTCCCCTGCGACTGTGTTCCCAAGCCCACATGTCTAACTACTTCTCCCTCTGGGTAGCTGGCTATGGCAAGAAGTGGCTACAACCTTGCCACTTGTCAGCTCTACTATATACCTGGGAATTCTTACAGAACATACAAATACACTTGTAGAAACATTGTCTCCCAACCCTATAAACCTTTCCTTGACTTTTTACAATAACGGACTTAATACAATGTTTGTCCTTCTGTGATTGACTTACTGCACTCAGCATAATGTTCTCCAGGTTCATCCACATTATGCAGTGTTTTGCCAGAAAATCACTTTTTTCATCTGTGTATAGGAGCAAAAGCACATTAAAAACTGTTTTTTTTTTTTTTTACACCAACAGAATATCACTGTGATTCACATATCTGCTTTTCAAAATAAGAACAGGAATCTGGCTTTTCTCATTTAATACCACAGCTTTATTTCTATATTGTAGTTATGCTAGAGTGTAAGAATAGATGAAATAGAGAAAGATAGAATTAAGGACAGAAAGATATATGTGAGATTAAGAGAAGTAGGGAAAACAAATAGACTATAAGAGATACCCAAATGCCATTCCATAAAACTATAGATAATAGTAGAACCATGGGAAAACAAAAAAAATACATTAACTTTACATTTTGTGGCCTTTTCTGTAACCTTTAAGAGTTACATTTCTAGAAAATAGAAGCAGATGTTTACCTTGAAGATTGATTAAAATTCAGATAAAGTTCAGGCCAAACTACAGGCTCTCCTGCACCCATCTGTCCCATCTGAGTCTTACTTGATCCTACCTTATTTTGTTAATATTTTTGAAAATAGCAGTAATGACACCTAATCTTTCAGCTTAGTCTTAAAATCTTAATATATTCACTGATTTTAGGACCCAATATGAGCAGAATCTCTATCCAGTGAAAATACTATTTGAATATTACATTGAATGATTCTTAACTTGATATACTTTTTTTCTCACATTTATATTTTTTTATGTAGGTGATATACCTGTGACCCAGAATGAACAGGAGAGCAAATCAAGTTCATTACCCTCTACATCATACGAACACTCCTTTCCAGAAGACAGTACATTTCCGTGTGTATATAAGTTGAATTTATTTATGTTGTTAATGTTTTTGTTCCTTTAAGGGAGTTACTTAATCATTTTATGTTAAAGTGGATATAATATACAAAAATGATTCTTTCCCGTCAAAGGCTTTAAAAAAGTTGTAGATTTTGGTACATAAAGGTCCCTTAATAGATCATTTATTTGTTAATATTCCTAAATAATCAAATCTTTTTCCAAAGTTTTGTTTAAGAAATGTTTTTATATACTACTAATACACTGAAATCAACTAAGTTGGCTATTTTTCTTCAACTAAGAAATCATTTTTCCTGGATTTTTTTTTTAAAGAGTATTGAAAAGATCTGAAGTATTTCTTTCAGTATCAATTCCATTTAAAAAATGCATAACAATTGTAAAGTAGTATCAGAAAGTTTATGAGAGTAGACTAAATTTTTCTGATCTTTCCTTTTTCTTCTAATTTCAGTAAAGATTACGCAACATAAAGACATGTAAAAGAAGGAATCTGACACTTAGTCTTTCTTTGTAATAGGTAATATTTGTATCAAAACCTTCAGCTACCATGGCATACTATAATACTATAATCCCAATATTGTTCAAAAGTACTAAAATAGATTGCAGTTATTTAAGAAAAACAACTTTTATTTTTTCCTCACTTTTAGTTCAGTAAGTGCTATTGCATTGTAGTCCTCAGGTAGCAGTAGATTTATATGGATCTAGTATCTGCTTTCTAGAGTCCCTGGTTGGTGCAAATGGTTAAAACAGATGGTTACTAACCCAAAGGTGGTTGTTGTTATGTGCCGTTGAGTCGGACTTGACTCACAGCAACCCCTCCTTGGGTTTCCAAGGCTGTATCACTACAGAAGTAGATTGCCCCATCTTCCTTCCGAGGAGTGGCTGATGGATTTGAACCACCAGCCTTCTGGTTAGCAGTCAGGTGCCTTAGGCAC